GTAGGGAAAAAAAAATCTACTGGCGCAGAGGAAGAACTATATAAAAACAAGAAAAAGAAAGTGATCGATAAGAAAAAAACATAGTGCCACCATACAGTGTAGATCACAGCAAAGGAACCCAACGGAAAAACCCCCGGGAAAAATTGCCCAAGTGATCTAAACTCAACTCCAAGATTTCTCCCATCTCTAACTGGTTTCTAAGTGATGTTTCCATAACAAAGTATAACTTATCTGAGACTTGGTTGCATCAGCGTCTGGTCCTGGGCATGCAGCGGAACTCAGCCAAGAGAGCTATGTGATCAGAAGACCATTCTGGGGAAGGAAGAGCAGTGTCCTTCCTCAGCCTCTCCTCGTCCAGTAGTTCCAGCAGTGATTCCACTGTCAGTGTGTCCGCTGAAACCAAAAGCAGATGTTTTTGTCTTACCACAAGAGACATCAGATGAAAAGAGACAAGAACTTGTGTAGAAACCATTCTGCAAAACCCTGTGAGAGCTAGACTACAGTGATTGTTTAGTCAAACCTGTGTAGAATATGTAATCAAGTGTGCCGATAAAGTCCCTGGTACAGTTTGTAAACAATGGTTCATTTGTTGTAGGATCCATTCTTCTCCTTTGTTGCTCTGCCATAAGGCTGCCTCCCATTCTTGCAAAGGATGAGTAAGCACTCACCTGCATTGCATGCAACGTCAGATGATCACGCATATATTGTCATTCTAAATATATTTTCCTGCACCGTTTTCATCTCTCCAATCTGTTGCTCCCTATAATCTCGAAATAAAAAACATGATTGGAGAAACTTTGTTGGAAAAGATAATTACCAATGGCAGCTGATGAGTCAGCTTGGTGTGAGGGCGCAAAATTCCAAAAGGATCAACCATCAAATCTGGGTGCAATGGATCGATCTTTCCCATGGCAAGAAGCGAATGTGGAGCACTGGAAAATATATGGAAGGAAGTTCTAAGTCTTACTGAATAAATCACCAAAGCCATAAGATGATCAAGATTTGCTATGTTGGCTTAGACTAATAGGAAAACCAGGCACACCTCCCCGGAACAGTATTGAAGTCTCCACAAACAAGCATGGGAATATCTGCACTGGCAGCTATTTTCTCCAATCCCTTCAACAATGTGTGAACCTATTTTGAACAATACTCAAATACATATCAGTAATGGTAACGGTGTTTGAATTATACAAGTTTGATTTCCAACTTCCAAGCTAGAGAGAAATACAGACCTGCCAACCCTTAACATCCTTCAGTTCTTGAGGAACATTTACATGTGTGTTAGCCTGCACATAAAGGATAAATAAAAGACAGAAGAAATAGGAAACGCATACATTTAGTCCTGAGCACCATATCCTACAATGACAAAGACCCAAAGAAAGGGCACTCACCACACAAAGAAGCTGGCGCTTTCCTGGATTATCAGCGGCCTGGTTACCAAATTTTGCTTCCAAAACAACAATCAGAGCAACATTGTCCTAGAAAGCAAGAAAATCTCAGATCGGTTATAGAAGACAAGAATACCACGAGAACAAACATGGATACAAAAATTGCATACTAGACCAAGTCCAAGTACCTTAATCAATCGGTTTAAAGCGTTTTTCTTCTGGGCAATAGGAATAACAGCCTCAGTCAAAGACTGAGCAGCCTTATTAAATTCAACCTGGACCAACATAATGGAAACTCAGCAAGAGGGTCTAAATATTAGACCTAATACCAGATGAAACCAATACATACCTCATATTTTTTCACATGTGAAAATCTGTCTCTTCTGAAAAATGTAGCACATCCGTCAATTGTTTTTGTATTACCACTGAAAACCTGAGATTATCGAGAGAATCATTATGCCCTGGTTAACAAATCATCCCACAGCATAAGAGACAGGGGAAAAGGGCTTTGGCAACAAGGATGTGCATCAGAACAAACCTCATTTGTTTTCTTTTTAAACAGTGCTTGGTACCCGTGCTTGTCCAGCTCAGGAGCAAAAAACTCCTCAAAATGATCACTCTGAACCTGCAAGATGGAAAAAAGGAAAGCAATCTTGAGATAAAAATCTTCCATTAACGAATTAATCATGTGTATTGATCAAATGAAATATGGTATTAGCATTTAGATCTGCTCATAAATGAACCACAAGTTACTGCAACCTAGGCAGACATATTGTTAACATACCTCCTGCAGGCAAACTATATCTGCACGGTACCCCACAATTTCCCGTAATAAGTTCTGTCTACGGTACTGCCAAGAAAGAGCCCATGGAGGACAGTAACTGTATAAGTCACTACTGACATTCGTGTCAGACAATATATTATACGAAAGAACGGTGAATGATCCAGTAGATGACAGACGACCATCCGAATCCAGGTGTCCCATGACATCAGCTCCACTAACAGGAATCAGCTTACGTGGACAGGGTGAAGGAGCTGGAATAACACGAGAAGTCAATAAGGTACACGGGTGTCCCACAGTCTGTTTAGTCTCCGCATTGACCACAACACACTCGACCTTCAAAACGTGACCAACATCATCGGCCATTGGTGTGTACGTCTTAGAGCGTCCAACCTCAACAAGTGTTTCCCCTGCACCAGTCCTTTGAGTGACTGCAGCAGGGTAAGCTGGTGCTGATCCATTTGTTAGACTAGCATTCGAGACAGAACCAGACAAACTACCAGAGCTGTTAAAACGGAACAACTCATCCTCGTCATTTCCATTTTCACCGGCAGCACTGGCTGCACGCTCGTGCAAGAGACGGTGATGCTGCCATGCATCTGAAAAGCATTTGGTGGAACAGTGGTAGCTTTTAGCAATGGGAACCTTCGACTTTAGACAACCAATACACTGAAGTGCGGCTTGCTCAGTTGGATGCACACTACACACTGCAACTTTCCTATCGCTCTGAACACGATACCTGCACAACGAAATCCAAAGGATGAATTTTAAGCAAGAAAACGAAATGCCCATGCCCATCAAAGACCTGTGAAACAAGGCTACGAATGCCAGGCACCCTTGAATTCCACACGTTCATATGGAAACTTATTTGAAGAAAAGAAAAAGAAAAAGCTACTTGAATTCAAGAAGCAATATCTACACAAGCCACCAATTTGAAAGCAGAGAAAAAGCCCGAAAGTCTCACACTTTGGTTAAACCCAACCTGACAGAACAAATCGAAAACCAGAAAACCCTAGATTGGGAAAATGGAGCAGAAAGTGAGAGAGAGCGAGAGAGAGACATTTGTAGAACTTACCATCTATACCTCAAGAAGTGACCATCAAGTGGGGCAGACTCCGGGACATCGTCGGTGGTGGCGGTCTTATCCGGCCGCCGGAGAAGCACGTAGGGCGTTAATTCACAACCAACAATGGGAATCTCCGACGGTAGATGCACCCGTATCACGCTCAGCATTGGTTCTCCGTCACACTCTGTTATCGTCACAACACTGCAACGCTACCAAAGCCCAAAATCCGAGAGCTTTATCTGTATATTCACGTGGAAGAACAGATGAAACGGAGCGGTACCCTGGCGGATCCGCCATTCATTTGACGCGAAAACTCGCCAACCTCGATGAACCCTAAAGTTCCCTAGACCTAGATTTCGCCCAAATTTTTGTCCACGGAAAATTCCACGACTCTCGGAGAAGGAACACGAAAAAGAAGAAAACCCCAATGATCGAATCGGAGGATCACTAGTTCGGGAAACAGAAAGGATCGATTGTTCCGGGAAGAAGGAAAAACCTAGAATTTCCGAAGACGGAGGTGCTTTCTCAAGGGGAAAAAAAAAAAGTTGCAGCCTTTGAGATTTAATTCATACTTATAATAAATGCATACCTATATGCATAATATTAATGTGACACACTAATATGTCCGTACTCCGTGTTGTTTCTATTAATTGACGAAATTAATTATGATGGAGAAGGTTATTCATTAGATTTGTACTAAAACCGCCGACGTACAATCCACAGTCTGATTTCTAAAACGGCACACAGTTCATTGCCCGGAGTATGCCTTCGTTTCTTTAAAAACGGCAAGATATCTGAAAATTCGAGGAGAACTGGAAAGAAAGGTTTGCAAAAAAAATATACAAGTGACGTCATATTCAAGGGGACTATCCGGACAATGGATATACTTATGCGGGCTGCCAAACAGGCTGGATTCTACTCTTCGGAAACTCCCGCCTTCGCTCGCCGGCCGTCAACACGAAACCCAGCAGCACCGGATTCCGGTGATATCCGCCGTTATACGGTGAGCTTTTGTTCAACTTTCCATCTCTAGTTGGTCCACGTTGAATTATTAGGAGTATCTGCCGCGATTAGGGCTGAAGCATAAGGACATCAAACCCTAGGGATTCGTATTTCGCGTTTTGGGATCTGAATTCAAATGAAGATTCGATTCATTTGGGGGGATTTTCCTTGAAATGGGTTTTGTTTCTTATTGAATGTTCCGCCGGAAAAATTGCAACCCAGATTCTGTAGGTCATTTGAGAGATTATGAACTGGAAGTCTGATACATCTCTTAAGCATGGCTAGATCACTTCTCAGATTCCACGACAGACATATAGACAGACTTTCAAGATCTACCGAAACCCTTGTGTTCTTAGGTATTGATAGATGCAGAAAAACATGACAAAGGATTTTGGTGCTGTATAGTGTAAGCATGTTGATCATCAAGGTTATCTCATCACTCCAGGACATAGTTGGTGAATTTCCGATTGATGCTTATTGAATTTGAACTATCGATACATTCTCTATCGACTGTTGAGAGGCAATCTCTGTGTGCTTTCCTTGCAGAAGATTATCGCCCGAAATGGAAAACGTCGAGCCATTTCCGAGAGGGATCTTTGAAATACCAGGAGAGCCAGCCATTATTATCAATGGGGTCCCTGATGAACCCAAGACAGATGGTGCCATTGTCATGAACGATGCAGATTCGCATGGAAGTGTCGGCTGCGGAGAATGGTTGGAGGGAAGAGAAGTCCGGAAACTGTTCTTGGGCCGGAATTATTCCGGCAAGGTTCTGAATTTTGACCAAAAAACCGGGTGGTATAGGGTAGAATACGAAGATGGGGATTCTGAAGATCTTGAATGGCATGAGCTGGAAGAGATTCTTCTGCCTTTGGATGTTACCATCCCCCTAAAGTCATTAGCTTTGGGCATTGTCGGAAGCAGACAACAACCGACAAAAGATTATGGACGGACACAAGCACAAACACGCAAGACAAAGAGCAAGATTTCCCGAGCAAACAGACTGGCGATTGAGGCAGGAGGACAGGATGTGGTTAATGCACAGAGTGAAGTCGGTGAATCACGAGACGAAACGGTATAATCGTCTGTCCCTTGTTTTGGAATTAACCTGCATAGTCCTTACGATCATTTTCTGTTTAAATTTTTCTCTGATCGTCGCTATATATTTCCTTCTGCTCGTCATGATCTCTGTTGCGGGTTCTGAATCTAACGGTTGTGAAACCTAGAAGGAGTATATACATATATATATATATATATCAGATTGCAATGACATACACATATGATTATCCTGTGAAATATGATCTCAGATTATGAATCTTGTGAATGCCCTCTTTGTTTTGCCTCGTGCGTGTTACTCTCTTGATATTTCTTTTGCTTTCTCGATTGCTGTTGAAGTTTACTTGTGGTCCAACTCGTGGATCACATTACTATTAATCAATTGTTATAAATATTTAAGTTTAGGTTTATAAAAATGCCTAAACTTATCACATTCCAGGCTGTCGATAATCTTTAAAATTGATTTCGGGTATCAAGTCATTGATTCGCCCTATTGCAAGTCAGTGTTCATATACATTTTGTATAGACATGAAATATGTATACTCCCATACGTGCATCCACGTACGTTCATATGTTCTTTATGTATATATACGCATATCCCATATACCATTTATACACGGCACACAACCTACACACACACATATATATATATATATATATATATATATATATATACATTGATCACAAATACCGGCGAATCGCCTCGCCATGGCCGGACTCCGTCGTCGTATTCTTCTTCTTCCTCTCTTCACCGTCATTTTCGTAATCGCTGTCAAAGAATCTGAAGCTTACTCCAATTCATTGCCTCGACCGAAGCCAGAGAAGTTCACACATATTCGACACCGTCTCCGGCGAGAAAACCACCGCCGTCAGAGTGGCCGAGGCCGCCGGCACGAACTCCTCCGCCACCTTGTTCGGGGTGGTGATGATGGCCGACAACCCTTTGACTGAGGGACCCGACATCAGCTCCAAGATATTGGGAAGAGCACAAGGGATCGCTTCTTCGGACATGGACAGCATCGGTCTGCTCATGGCCTTTAACTTGGTTTTCACGGAAGGGAATCTCAACGGCAGCGCCGTCAGCTTGTTCGGTCGGAATGCGATAATGTCGAAGGTGAGAGAGATGCCGGTTATAGGCGGTACCGGAATTTTCCGGTTCGCTACCGGTTATGCTCAGGCCAAGACCTACTCGGTCGCTGGCTTAAACGCCGTGGTCGAGTATAATGTTTACGTTTGGCATTGACTTCAAAGAAGAAAAAAAATGAAAGTTGAGAAATAAAAGTCAATTTGTGGTTTCTCCTCTGTTACTGCTTTGATCACTGCTTTGTGATCAAGTGTCAATTTCGAACTAAAGTCCGGTCCGAATTCCACCGAGAAAAAACATCGGACTTCGGATCTAAATTTGTATATTCTAAAAAAACAGATTTTTGGGACGGATTCAAATCGGATTTCGAGTCGGTCTGAAAGTTCGATTTAATTATTTTTTAAAAAATAAATACAAAAAATTTATCACTACACACAAATAAAAGTATTAAACGGATGGACCTCGTCCGGCTTGTTTCGAGTCTGAACATAAGTTTTATAAGATCGGTTTCTGGATTTGATTCTATAAATCTGAAAAATTCAGATCAGCTCGAATCCGAAACCTTCGGACCGGTTGTAGGTTCGGACCGACTTGTTTGACACCCCCCGTGTTCGTGCTGTAATATTAATAATATCTTATAGATTTCGAGGAATGTTATAACTATAGAACTAATGATATTGGTCTTCTCTTGTTCTCGCTGTAATAATGCTGTTCTATATATATATCCAAATCTAGGGTTATACAAAAAACCAAAAACCTATTACGTCATATATACCAACAAATCATTTTTTATTGATTTGGGAATGTTAAACCTAATATGAATATTAGGAAATAATTTATAGAAAATTTCATATTCCTTCACGAATTTCATTCAATTTTTTACATCAATTTTTAATTTAACAAAATATTACACCAAATTTTAAACATTTCCAAAATCCCACAAAATATATCAAAATGTGTTGTAATTTTCTCTATATTCGTGAACGCGTTAAATTTCGTCAATTTTATTACTGACGTGGCATCTCATGTCACACTTTTTTCGTCAAATCATCAGATTTCTTTAAATCAGCACGTTCACGTCAGAAAATAAAAAAAATTTAAAAATATAAAATTAAATAAAATTTTTAAAAATTTAAAGAATTTAAAAAATTTAAAATTTTCAGAATTTTAAAAATACATATACATATATTCACATTTATATATACATATATACATATACACACATATATACATATACATACATATTCAATTGTATATATACACACACATAAATATAATGTATATATATACACATATAAATATTCATATATATATATATATACATATATACCCATATATACATTCAATATGTGTATATATGTGAATATATATATGTATGTATGAATGGATGTATGTATATATACACGTATATAAATATATAGATGCATGTGAATATGTATGTATATATATGTGTGTATGTGTATGTGTATATATGCATGTGAATGTGTATATATGTATATGTATATAAATTTGTATATATATGTATGTGAATATGTATGTATATATATATAGATGTATATATGCATGTGAATATGTATGCATATATATATAAATATATATGTGTGTATATATATGTATATATATATAAGTGTGTATATATGTATATATATTTTTAAAAATTTTTAATTTTAAATTTTTTAAATTTTTAAATGTTTTAAATTTGATTTAATTTTTATGTTTTTTAAAAAATTATTTAATTTACTTTCTGATGTGGCGTAGTGATTCGGCGTAAAAAGTATAATGTGGCACACTACGTCAACGATAAAATTGACGGAACTTAACTCGTTTACAGATATGGAAAAAATTGTAATACATTTTAATATTTTGTGTGAGATTTTAGAAATGTTTAAAATTCAGTGAATTTTTTATCAAATTAAAAATTAGTGTAAGAAATTAGAAAATTAACGAAAATTCGTAGGAGAATATGAAATATTTCCTATAATTTATATCTTCAAAATTATATGTTGGTGCCCATTAATGAACAAATACATAAAAGACGTATATATGCTACTGTGAAAGAATAGGATTTTCTGTATATTCATATTATGGTGTACATGTAGCAATATATATACGAGAGAGAGGAAGCAAATGAGGAAACAAAATGTGCTAAATAACAGGAATAGATTGATACGAATATTAACAGCAGATCTCTTTCCATTATGCCCCCGCAAGATGAGGCTCGTGTACGAGACCAATCTTGACTCGGAGAAGATCAAACCGAGCCCGTGGAAGAGGTTTCGTTAGAGCATCCGCCAACTGATCGTGCGAGGAAACATGCGTGACCCGAAGAAGACCATCTTGAACAAGACCACAGATAAAGTGATAGTCGATAGTCACGTGTTTCATACGTGAGTGAAATACGGGATTGTCACATAGGTAGGTGGCTCTGACATTGTCGCAGTAGATCACGGGAGCAGTCGAAGGAGTCTCGCCGAGTTCCGAATGAAGAGATGCAATCTACCGAATTTCAGAGGCTGTAGAGGCAACAAACTTGTATTCAGATTCCGTGGATGAACGAGCGGCCATACGTTGCTTCTTCGACCAAGAAATGGGATGGTGACCGAGATATACTATATGAGCACTCGTGGACGTAAAGTCATCACGATTACCTCCCCAATCTGCGTCCGAGAAGGCATGTAGAATAGGTGAATTCCGAGAAGCCATAAAAAGACCAAGAGAGGATGACCCGACTAAGTAGCGAAGAACTCGCTTAACTCCTTACCAATGCCCCGTTGTGGGTCGATGCATGAATTGAGAGAGCTTATTAACCGCGAAGGCAATGTCCGGCCGAGTAAAGTGGAGGTATTGCAAACTACTAACCACATTACGGTATTCCGAGGGATCGTCCAAAGGAGATCCTGCGGCTAGTGTGAGAGAGGTGGTGGATGACATCGGTGTTGAGACCGGCTTTGCATGGAGCATATTGGTTCGCTTGAGTAGATCAAGAATGTACCGATGTTGCGTAAGGTGGAGACCAGCGGAAGAACGAGAGACCTCTACACCAAGAAAGAAGGATAAATCGCCAAGGTCCTTGAGATTGAACCGAGAGGAGAGCATGCTGATGATGGCTTGGCAGCGGGTAACGTCATTCCCGGTGATGACTATGTCATCAACATAGACTAACAGGTAGATGACGGTGGTGGCATCACGGAGAATGAACAAAGATGTGTCAGCCAGTGAGTTAACAAATCCCGAGCCAAGAAGAAAGTTTCGGAGCTCCTTGTACCAGGCACGGTGCTTGTTTCGGTCCATAAAGCGCCTTGTGGAGTTTACACACATGGGACGGACGATCTTGATCCACAAAGCCGGGAGGCTGGATCATGTAGACATCATCATCATGTAGACAACACACGGACCAACACTTTTCGACGTTTCCGACATGCCGAACAAGGAAGGGAACACCACCATTTCGGACTCGAGTACCGAGATCGACAACGCACGCATCACAAGGGCGATGGCTCGAGCGGCTGAGCAACGCTCGGACCTACAGCCTACGGAGCTCAACTCAACCCCCGATGGCTCGGACACCTCATTGCCTCAAGGAGAGCCATGCCTTGTACCCGACGATGGATTCATGGCACGATCGGATGCATGGATGGATGGACTTGAGCAAGAGATAGCAGCCATAGGCGAGGGTATCAAGGTGTCAATCTCCGAACTTGACCGAAAGTTCGAGAGAGAACTACGAGCGATGCGTCGAGAAATGACGGCCATGCGGGACGATTACGAGCAGCGTATCTCCGACCTTCACAAGGTAATCGATGACCTTAAACTTGAGTGTAGGACTCATCTACGGGCAGCTGGACCAACACCCATGGTGGCTCACGGTACGATGGTTGTCCGAAACCCCGAACCAGCCATATACGATGGTTCACGACATGCCCCGACTGTAGAAGCCTTTCTGTTCAGACTCGAACAGTACTTCGAAGCCTTTGGAGTCACGGACGACCATTCCTGGATAAGGAATGCCCCGACCTATCTCCGAGAGACCGCAATGCTTTGGTGGCGACGTATATGTGCCGACCGAGACAGAGGAGAGCCATGGGTCCAGACTTGGTCACAGTTCAAGTCTGAGCTCAAGCGACACTTTGTCCTAACAAACTCCGTGGACGAGGCACGTACCAAACTCAGGCGCCTACGACAAACGAGAAGTGCACTCGCCTATATAAGTGAGTTCTCGACCCTATGTCTCGAGATTACTGATCTGTCTGACAAGGACGCGCTATTCTTTTTCAGGGATGGGCTTAAGGACGACGTTCGGCTCGAAGTGAACCGAAGGGATCCGCAGATGCTGGACGACACAATCGCAATTGCCAGTCAATCCCGGACTCCGGACGTACACCGAGGCCAACACAGTCCCACAACCATCCCGAGCCACGTCCCGTAGCTGCCCCGACGGATAAAGGTCAGGCCAAGGGGCCGACCAAATCTCCAGCCCCATGCTACCACTGCGGCGGTCCTCACTGGGTTCGAGAGTGCCCGAGACATGCCAAGCTCACTGCTATCATGGCTTTGGTCGACGAGATCGAAGATTTCGAAGACGAGGACATGGAAGATGAGCAACTCACGGACGAGGGGGCCAAACACCTTGGCCACATAGCGTCCGACTCCCCCAAGTCCAACTCCAAGGACAACGGCCTACTCTACACGGATGTCAACATCTACGGTAATATTCTCCCCGCTATGCTCGATACCGGTGCGTCTCATTGCTTCATAGACGCAGGGATTACCAAAATGCTCAACCTAAAGAAGGACCCTCACGGTGGAACCATCAAGGCGGTCAACTCCCCGGCTCAAACAGCCACGGGGATAGCTCGGAATGTGCGAATTCAGATTGGAGATTAGGACACTCGCCTTGATTTCACCATCCTCCCCATGGATGATTTCAAGCTTGTTCTCGGTCTCCCCTTCTTCCGGGCGGCTAACATGCAACTCCTGGTCTCGCACAAGTCCTTGATCCTCTTAGACGACGTACAACCAACCATTGTTCCACTTCGGTGCGTTCCAAAGGACATTACTATCTCGGCCTTGCAATACCGAGGCCCCACCAAGACAGGTAAGCCGACTCAATCTCGACGTTCATCGCCTCCTCGGCCTTCCCCATCAAGGTACGCAGCTATGTACTCTTCTCGGGC